TCGCCTCCTGTACTGTCGGCCCCGCTAGGTGGAGCAGCGGCGTGGTACCAGGCTCAGCGTCAGCAGCACCTTCAGCAGCAGCAGCAGCCCCTTTCCTCCCAGCAGCCTCAGCAGCAGCAGCGTCAGCAGCTGGCTCCGGGGTCGGGGCTGCGTCAGCCCCAGCGCGGTGCTGCTTACCCTCCCTGCCCCTACCAGGTTCAGACGGGTCCTCGTCGGGGCCACCCTTGTGGCCGCTTTCACCCCCCTGGTCAGTGCTTTGCTCAGCTCACTGACACGGTCCGGTTGACCTACGGGGTTGGCGGTCCTGCTCCTGACTGGCTTCCACTGGTTCAGCGCTACGGCTCCGCTCTGTGGGGCATGTCTGCTGAGCAGTTAGTTGATCTGATTAGTGCTCCTCATGCTATGTATGCTGTTGTTGACTCTAGTGTTTCTGACTCTGTTTACTCTGGTGTTGTTAGCTTAGGTGCTAGTCTTGCTGAGTTGCCTGTTGCTAGTGTAGGTACTTGTGTAGACTCTAGACCAGCGACTACCTCAGAGGACGCTTCGCTGTCGTTCACACTGGACTCTGGAGCCTCCCACTGCTTCTTTCGGGACAGCACGACACTTACACCACTTCCTGCGCCTGTTTCTGTAGCGTTGGCTGATCCCACTACGGGACCAGTCACTGCACGTCACACTACCACTTTACCGTGTCCTGCTGCTCCCTCCGGGTCTCTCACTGGGTTTCACGTCCCCTCGTTCTCCCGGAACTTGGTGGGCGTGCGACCCCTCGTGAGTCAGCACGTGGGTGTGTGGTTGCTCACCACCGAGGACACTCGTGGTCGTCGTGTCAGCTGTCTCCACTCCGACCGTGGGGGTGAGTTTCGCTCCAGCATTCTCGCTGGATTCTGTCGCGAGCAGGGCATTCGTCAGTCCTGGACGCTTCCAGAGTCCCCACAGCAGAATGGGGTTGCTGAGCGCCGCATAGGCCTGGTCATGGAGATCGCCCGCACCTCCCTGACTCACGCCTGTGCCCCCCATTTTCTGTGGCCCTACGCGGTCAGGTACGCCGCGCACCAGCTGAACCTCTGGCCACGTGTCTCTCGACCAGAGGTTTCACCGACCAGTCTTTGGACAGGGTTCCCTGGTGTTGCGTCGCGGTTTCGTGTCTGGGGGTGCTTGGCTCTTGTCCGCGACACCTCCGCGGACAAGCTCTCGCCTCGTGCCGTCCCCTGTGTCTTCCTTGGTTTCCCTGAGGACTCCTCTGACTTCACCTTTTACCACCCTCCCTCTCACCGGTTCTTTGACTCCCGTGACGTCCGTTTCGAGGAGTCCACTCCGTACTACGTCAGGTACCCCAGTCGAGGTCTCCCGGTTCCTCCTCCCCCCCTCTTCCTGACTGCCGTTCCCCCTCCTGCTCCCCCGGTACAGCCTCCCCCCCCTGGTCCAGCCCCGTCAGGTGTGTCCCAGGCTACCCCTCCTCCTTCGGTAGCCCCTCCGGTACAGCCTCCCTCCCCACAGTCCTCCTCGCAGCGTGCCGCTGGTGCTAGCTCTCGAGAGGTTGGTGCGACGCCTGTTCCTGTACCGGTTTCAGGTTCTGGGGGTGCTGGAGTTAGAGCTGGAGTTGGAGCTGGAGTTGGAGCTGGAGTTGGCACTGGAGTTTCTGGTTCTGGGGGTGCTGGAGTTGGAGCTGGGGTTGGAGCTGGAGTTTCTGGTTCTGGAGTTGGAGCTGACCAGGTGGGTGCAGAGGACGCTTGTCGTCCGGGAGCTGGTGCTGGCCGCGCGGACACTGGGGGTGCTGCGTCTGGGGGTGAGGGTGCGCCTCCTTTGGGTTCAGGTGAGCCTGGGTCTGGAGCTGGTGTTAGTGCTGCCTCTGGGGGTGGTGAGCCTAGTTCTTCTGGAGTGGACTCTGGAGCTGCCGCTGCTTCGGACACTACTCCGCCCCCCCACCCCTACCCGACTAGGCACCAGGCTCGTGTTCGCCGTGCCCGTGACGATCAGCTGGCGTTGGAGAGAGAGGAGAGGGAGTTACAGCGGCTGGAGGAGCAGCAGCAGCAGCTGGACCCGCAGGAGCAGCAGTCCCAGCAGCAGCCGCGTCCGCAGCAGCAGCAGTCGCAGCCGCAGCAGCAGCAGCCACTTCCTCCTCCTGTCTCGGGTCTTCGGATCCTTGGTCTCCCCTCCCCTTCTCCTCCCTCCTCCGCCTCTCCTCCTGTCTACGGTCCCACGTTTCCTCCTCCTGACTCCTCCCCCGCTGTTTTCCCCAGTTCTCCGCCTTTGTCCTCTCCTCCTCCGTCTCGTTCTTGGGCTACTCGTCGCTCCCCTCGTGCTCGTCCCTCGTCTCCTTCCCTTCACTGACCTTCGTACTGCCTTCCTTCTTTCTAGTCCACCTCGTCCGTCTCAGTCTGTGCTTCCGTCTCCTCCTGAGTCGGCCCTCACTGTGTCGCTCCCTACTCCTGTCACTGACTACTACCGCACGTACCGTCCTGTTCTCTCTCGTGTTCTCGCCTCTCTTGTTACTCACCCTCGTGCCTCTGTGTCCTCTGTGTCCGCTCTTACTGCCGCAGTTACTGACTTTGCCTCTACCCGCCGCCTTGACTACGCCACCACGCTTGTGGCTGCTCCTCCTACCAGTCCTCTGGCCGTCGGGGGTGTGTCTGCCCTTGGCCGTGACGCCCTAGAGGACAGGCAGTTTGAGCTAGAGTTCCTGGCGGCCGCTTCCCCTCATCTCTGTGCCATGCTCCTCGCCCCTGAGGGTGACCCCGACGCCCTTGACATTCCGACTCCTCGCACTTACGCTGAGGCAGTGTCAGGGCCTTGGGCCTCTCAGTGGAGAGCTGCCATGGACGCAGAGATGGCCTCCTACAGATCCACAGGCACCTACGTCGATGAGGTTCCCCCCCCGGGGGCGAACGTAGTCGACGGCATGTGGATCTACAGGGTGAAGCGGCCACCGGGATCTCCCCCGGTCTTCAAGGCGCGCTACGTGGCTAGAGGTTTCAGTCAGCGCGAGGGAGTTGACTTCTTTCAGACCTTCGCACCTACCCCGAAGATGACCACTCTTCGGGTGTTACTACACGTAGCAGCACAGAGAGACTACGAGTTACACTCTCTTGACTTCTCCACTGCTTTCCTTCAGGGCAGCCTACACGAGGAGGTCTGGTTGCGTCGTCCCTCGGCCTTCACTGGCACCTTCCCTCCTGGGACCCAGTGGAGGCTGAGGCGACCTGTTTACGGTCTTCGCCAGGCCCCTCGTGAGTGGCACGACACTCTGCGTTCTACCCTCTCTGACCTTGGGTTCCAGCCGTCTTCTGCCGACCCGTCGCTGTTCGTTCGTCGTGGCTCCACACCGTTCTTTGTTCTGGTTTACGTCGACGACCTCGTTTTCGCCACTCCGGACAGGGTTGCTTTGGCAGACGTGAAGTCCGAACTGCAGAAGAGACACACGTGCACTGATCTTGGTGAACTGCGCCACTACCTTGGCCTGCAGATCACCAGGGACAGAGCCGCTCGCACCATTACACTCTCACAGTCACACATGGTGCAACAGGTCCTTCAGCGGTTCGGGCTTCAGCACTCCACCGTACAGCGCACACCTCTAGCTGTTGACCACAGACTCACTGGTCCCTTTCCTGACGAGCCGTTTGAGCCTAGTGGTCCCTACGCAGAGCTTGTGGGTTGCCTCATGTACCTGATGACTTGTACTCGCCCGGACCTCGCCTTCCCTCTCAGCATCCTTGCGCGCTTTGTTGCGCCAGGGAGACACCGTCCTGTTCACTGGACGGCAGCTGTGAGGGTGGCGAAGTACCTAGCGACTACATCAGGCGTGGGGCTAGTTCTTGGAGGGCAGCAGTCTGTCGTACTCACTGGTCACTGTGACTCCTCTTACGCTGACGACGCTGAGACTCACAGGTCTACTCAGGGGTACTGTTTCAGTCTGGGTTCTGGAGCTGTTTCCTGGCGTTCCACGCGCTCCTCTTCTGTCTCGACCTCTACAGCTGAGGCTGAGATTTACGCTGGTGCCATGGCGGCACAGGAGTTGCGGTGGTTGACCTTCTTGCTCACTGACCTTGGTGAGCGGCCGAGCTCTGCACCGACCTTGTTTACTGACAACAAGGCGTCGATCCTCCTCTGTCGTGAGCCGCGACTGGAGAGCAGAGTGAAGCACATTCACATCAGGTACTTTCTTCTGCGAGAGTTGCAGAGGCGTGGACAGGCTCGCTTCGAGTTCGTAGAGTCCGAGGCCAACACTGCAGACATCTTCACCAAGGCGCTTCCGCCTTGTGACCACCAGAGGTGTTGTGTGCAGTTAGGCCTTGTTGACACAGGTTCTAGTCATGCGTAGACTTGAGTTTATTGCCTGCTTCGTCTGTACATTTACTATATATACTTGTGATCTCTTGGACTGGCCTTGTGGCCACTGTTGCTTGTGCTCAGAGTGTGTGGTGACGTTGTGATCCACCCTGAGCTTTGTTTTCTTTTGGACTGGTCTTGTGACCGTACTCTTTTTGTTTTTGCTAGACACCCCTCACTTAGGCTATGGGGGTGTGTCAAATGTTGTAGCCTGTAGTGAGGTTTGTCTTAGGGGGTACAGAAGTTAGGGTTTGTCATATGTACCCCAACCAACATCAATGCAACACTCATTCCTCATTCTGACAGAGACATGTGCATGCACCCCACACCAGCACCTTATGATACGGTAGCACACCCACATGCACAAGCACGCATGGAGGACTGTAAGCCATCCCTCAGATTTGTTTTTCTGGCCAGTTACAAATGGACTGGACTGGCAAATTGACGCCCTATGCTACGGTACGGCAATAAAAGACTTTCAGTGCGACTAGTGAACGAACAGGAATCTAAAATGCTATCAACCCCTTTGGACTGCAACCCAACCCAACACAGCCACAGCATCAACACCTCTCACAAGCCACTATTCCTCCAAATCACGAATCCACCACTTCTTCCAAACCCATGAGTACTCTCCTCATAGCATAAAACTACGCCCCCATCCCCTCACAGCCTCACTGCATCGGATCATAACCCTGTGCTTTCAGCTCCCTCTCAGCCTCCCTCCTCATGCGCAGCCACAGCCTCAGCGCCTCCCGCTTCACCCGCTGCTCCTCCGCTGCCCGCCGCCCCTCCACGTCTGAGCCAGCGCTGCCAGCAGAAGAGGACTGGCGGAACCGGGCCGGCACGACGGTGGTGGCCACGCCGCCGCGCTCAAAGTACCGGTCCACTGCGTGTGGATCGCCGGCAGCTGCGTCCCCTGGGAAAGGCGTGGGGCCCCTCTCGTATAAGTGAGCCATGGCCCTCTCCTCCTGTCAGTGGTTTCGTGGTGAAAGGAGAGGAACGGAAGCACCAGGAGGATGAGGGGGACGGAGGCGGGGAAGGGGGGAGAGGGAGGCGGGGAAAGGGGTTGGGGTTGAAAAGGAAGCAAAAGGGAGGGTAAGAGACCGTATGAGAATGGATGGTGCCAAGGTTGCACAAATGATCGGATGTGTCAAGTATGTGTGTGCATGTAAGCAACACAACACAAACAAACTAAACCTAGGACACGCAACCCACCTTAGGGCGAGGTTTGAATGTCCACCAACCCAGAGGTGAATACTTGTCAAAGAGATAGAGCGCGCCTATGAGCGCCCATGTCTTGCCCAACGCTCCGAAGAACCGACCCAGAGTCACAGGCTCGGCCATGCCTAAGCTAGCAGCGAGGCTCGGATGTCAGGCTACAACTGCATTGACATGGGGAGCTGTAGGCTGAGGAAGGTTGGGGGAGGGGGAGCAGGAAGCAGCAGAGGAATGAAACAACGCGGCTGCGCTAGCGAATGCGTCCGATGAATCAAATACGGTAACATCGGATACGACATTGACGACTCTCCCCGCATGCTACCCCTCCTCCGCCTCCTCTCCTGAACGCGTCCTCCCATGTCCCCCTCTTTGCCGAATCTCTCGCTTCTTGAGAGGCATAGCTTTACCCCGGTTGATCCCACTTACATTAGCGCCGATGACCACACGCCCATGCCAATAGTTTCCTAAGTCCACCCCCAGCTGCTTCAACGAAAGCCGGCATACGTATTCTGGCCGAACATTGAAGGGCTTGAACCGATATGAAGGTATATGACACGGGTCCGAAATCACACTAACTTTCAAACTGGGTGTGCCGCCCAATAAGAGCCCACCTAACCCTAATGGAGCTGGAGCGTTCTGTTCAATCAAATCCCACTCCAGCCCCCTACTCGGCATAGCTTTGCGGCATTTGCAAAAACTGTTGATGATTTGGTAACAGGTTGTTTTTTATATCCGATGACGAAGAGTTACGCAGACTTGACGACAGCGGCGAAGCAGATTGTAACTCGTACACAGCTTCTGCACAAACGTGGTGCGACATCTACGTGTACAAGCAGCAGCTATAGTGCTGGGATTGTGATGACATCCACAAGGATCTGTCACGGCATAATCAGATTCAAACGGTTTCGGCATGGTTCCGTATGGTTGAGATTGACAAATTCAATTCCGACTGACGAACTGTTCTATCCAACCAACCGATTTGAAGGCAAGGTTCGAATCCAGTCATCAGCCATTGGATTGCCCGCCTGGTGGCGCCTTCAGATTGATCGGAGTGGTGTCGCAGATCGACGGCTTTATCTCAAAGTGGTGTCGCGTGGCAATATCCTGGTGAGTGTCAACATTATCCTCCAATCGTAAGACAAGCCACTGCTGAAAAGTTGTCAGTGCGGACCAGGCTGAGCTACTTTTGCTGCTGTCCACGCAGTGCTGTGTCAGCCGTGCCACATCTGCCCCTCGCTCTGAACCTGCCTGGGACTGGTTAACCGTGCGCAATGAGAACCGGAGCGACAAATTCATGAATGCGCGACGATCGCTAACTTAGGGAAGCCGTCAGTTGCGATTTTCGCGAGCGCTCGCAAACTCCCGAACTTCAAGGTCTCAACCGTTGCAGTTCCCAAGGGTGATGCTTTTGTTTCGGGAGAGGTTCCCAGCTTGGCTTGGGTTTGGGGGGGACATCAACTGGAGAGGTTTGGTTTGGAAGAAAAGGGGAGGCAGGATAGCAGGTGGCGTGCCAGGGTGACACAGGAACTTACAAGAAGCAATATTCCGTTTGCTTCCTGTCATGCTCAGTTTGATCTCGGTAGTATCTTGGGTTTGATCACAGATTGTCCAGGCCTCCGCAATGGCATCTGCTACGCTGGTCGTAACTCTGGTTGCTTGGTGCTGTCTGGTCAGCGTTGCTCGTGCGGATCTGGGCTACGCTCCTTCGGACTTAGCAAATGAAGTCTCGCTGCAGGCCCTCTTCGAGCGATGGTCCGTGAAGCACGGCAAGGTTTTCGGAGTTGCTGAGAAGGAGTCTCGCTTTCGCACCTTCGTCGATAACCTGCACTTCGTTCACAACCTGAATTCGCAGGGCAAGAAGTTTACTCTTGCTCTCAATGAGTTCGCTCACCTGTCGCACGAGGAGTTCAAGTCATCGCGCTTGGGCTTCCGTAAAGACATGGATTCTCGCAGCGGCAGGCCGCTTCGCGGAAACTTCATGCACGCTGATGTCAACGCTCCGGAGGAAGTCGACTGGCGGAAGGAGGGAGCGGTGACTGAAGTCAAGAACCAGGGTCAATGCGGTAACGTCACTGATCCTTTCACCATGATGTCTCCTCTTTTTTTTTTAAACTATTCGTCGCGAAATTTGTTAAGTCTTACAAACAGTTGCCGAACTTTTTATTCTGGCGTTTTGCAGGGAGTTGCTGGGCGTTTTCCACTACTGGAGCTGTTGAGGGTATCAACAAGATCGTGACTGGCGAGCTAATTTCGCTGTCAGAGCAGGAGCTGGTTGACTGCGACACGAAGAAGGATCAGGGATGTGGTGGTGGACTCATGGACTTCGCGTTCGAATTCATCATTAAGAACGGCGGTCTTGACACGGAGGAGGATTATCCTTACGACGCAACAGCTCACAAGTGCAACAAGGCCAAGGTAAGTGATTGCCTTGCAAACGACGCTTACACATACCAGTGTAAGGATCCATGAACTAATACAGATCCCTCTTTTCACTTTCAGATGAACACCCACGTTGTCACAATTGACGACTTCGAAGACGTTCCTTCCAACAGCGAAGCCGGCCTCAAGAAGGCGCTTGCGGCTCAGCCTGTTTCCGTCGCAATTGAGGCGGATCGCCGGGAATTCCAGTTCTATTCGAGTGTGAGTGGCATTAGACGAACAATCTACACTTAGCGCAACATTTCTTCTTTCTTGTCGAAGCTAACAGCCTGAATTTTGTCATTTCTCAGGGTATTTTCGATGGTGAGTGCGGCACAGATCTGGACCATGGCGTTCTGGCCGTCGGATACGGCACAGAGAACGGAACGGATTACTGGATTGTGAAGAACTCGTGGGGTCCTCGCTGGGGTGACCACGGCTTCATCAGGCTGGTCAGGAATGTTGAAGCTGAGGAGGGCCAGTGCGGTATTGCCATGCAGGTACGGAGCCATGTCTTGCATCGCGTTGGTTTCTCTTGATCCCCCACGTGAATGTAATTGACTGTTGGCCGTGACGTATTTCCCTTCGTTCCTCCATGCGGGTATCAACTGTTCCACTCACGTTTCCTTGTGGTTGGCATCATGCAGGCATCCTATCCGATCAAGAAGGGGCCCAACCCACCTCCCGGCCCTCAGCCTCCTCCCACTCCTCCTCCCTCTCCTGAGGTGTGTGACCGCAAGCACGAGTGCCCTCACGGCACCACCTGCTGCTGCGGACTCCCCCTTGGAAAGATTTGCTTGTCGTGGGGATGCTGCCCCATGGAGCATGCCACCTGCTGCGACGATCACCACCACTGCTGCCCTCAGCAGTACCCCGTCTGCCGCACTGACATTGGCATCTGCACAATGGTAGGTTTATCCAGATTTTGTTGCAACTCTACGAATGCGCGTACCTACTCTGGTTTGCTCCCCTGAATTGCATCATTGCTTGCCTAATGTGGTGATGTTGCTTGTTGCAGAGCCCCAACATGGAGTTTGGAGTGCCGCTGCTCACTCGCTCCCAAGCCCACTTCCGCTGGCCATTCCTGCGCGATGTTCTGGGACGCAAGGTGGGACAGGAACAGGAGAATGCCTCCTAGAGGGCTTGTTGAGGGCAAGGCTTTCCTAGGAAGCTGCCTGCCTGTCCTTTTGATTGCTACCGGTATATTCCTCCCAAGGTATGATTCTTTGGGCTTTCTGCTGGGGTGATCAGGTAGCATTTGCCACACGCTTCTGTTGATACTAGCAGCATTTGTAAAAGATCTGTACACTCTGTTTTAGAGCCTGATGCTATACTAGGTTTGATTCCCCCACTGAATAGTGCATACATTACATGATAAGCAGGCAGAGCAAACAACTGGATCCACATCATTATCCACACATGTTGAGTCAGAGGTTTGGCTGTGGCTCCCATGGACCAACAGGGAAAAGGTCCTCGACACTGTTGATGGCAAAACATCAGGCAAAACAAAACAAAACACCACAGACCAGAAGCATAAGGACATTGAGGGTAAAAACACAGCACAATGGCACAATGTACCAAGACATATATCCTTACCAATCGCCAAGGCATTCAATGATGTTGGTCGTGGTCATGCTGCGCTTGTGCTTGGCAAAGGCATCTGCTGCTGCTCTCCTCACCACCAGCGACCCGGCAAACGCTGCCATGACTGCTGGATTGTCAGACAGCTGCTCTGCCACCAGCTGCTGCATTTCAGCGTCGGAGGAACCACCACCCTGCTGCTGTTCTTCCTGTAGCCGCTGCTGCCACTTGCGAGCCCAGACGAAAAACACTGCGATGCTGGTACCGGTAGCAGGGAAACTCGCACATGCCATGCCATGTCAACAAGCCAAGAGATCATGAGGTGATGTGCAGTGCAGCAGCACAGCAACTGCCTGCTGGTTATTAACTGCATCAGAAAGCTATAAATAGAATTGCATCGCACCTTCCTGAGAGCACATCCCCTTGCCCGCCACATCGCCTGGGTGATCCAAAGAGACCGCACTCAAAAACTGGTGGGGTGGCAAAAGAACCAAGAGAGTTTGAGAGGTGTGCAAAGGGTCGCAGTGGTAATGCTCGAGAAACTCTTAGTATGGTACCTGCATTTCCATCTGAAATGCCATCAGCTGCTCCCTTCTGCACTATTGTGACCCTTCCAAGACTGCAGCCAGGTAGAGAGGACAAATTAAAGAGCAATTCAGTCAGGACAAAGAAACTGCTGCAAGCAAGTATAATTTGTAGTGCTACAAGCAAGTACCCACTCTGCTGCTAGCTGTGCAAGCGAACTGCCCGGGTTGGACGGCCCGGAAGAAACAGCTGCTGCTGCTGCTGGTGGTGCTGCTGTGGAATCACGCTGAGATGCGACAACCTGAGAGAGGCGAGCGAACTCATTGACGTTGGGTGTGAGAATGGCGAGAGGGTAGCCGGCGATGAGGTGCGGCTGGTTAGACACCAGGTGCAGGCCGTCCTGCAAGGGCATTGCAAGGAGGAACATGGTGCGAGATAGAATTGGTGTTGACATGGTATGTGGTGGATAGATGTGTGTCAAAGCTACATGTATGACAGCTGCTGGGATGCGAGGCACGACTCACCGCATCGATCACCATGGGGATGCGTGCTTGCCGGGCGGCAGACATGATGTCAGCCACACACTCCTGCAGCAGCGAGTCCCTGCCCAGGCCTGGCCCAATCACAACGCAGTCCATCCGCGGCAGCCAATCAGAAACCGTCTTTACAGCTGCTTCGACAATCTCTTTCCGCTGAGCGGGCGTTTCAAGCCTGAAGTCAAGGGACGAAGCAAGATGCAAATCTTTGTGGCATTGACAGATAGCAGCGCTGAGCGTTACACAAAGTAACGGCCCAGCTTCATTCTGTAGAGTCAGGGAGCAAGGGATATTCGCTCACCTGACATCATAAGATTCCCGCAATGCCGGGTGCACTATAAGCTCTGGGCTGTACGCCTTAATGACAGGTGCGGCTTCTCGTGAGCAGAACACGTGGGCAATGTCTGCACCCTGCGTGATGTTGAGTGGAGGCGATCACGAAGGCCAAGAGAATGTTGAGAAGCAAGGTTGGGGAAAGGGGAACAGGAAGGGGAGCATTGGCTGGGAGCAGCGCTGTGAGAGGAGCTCCATAGACTGGCCCACCAGCTGCACGGACTTACTTACTGTTAGTGCCTATTTTGTGAGTATGGCTGTAAGTAAAGCCTGCAGCAGGGCGTGAGAGGCGCTCACCAGCTTGAGCGCGGAAAAGGCGGCAAAGAAGGGAGCTCCCGTGTACTCGCGACATCCTCCGATCACAGCGATCTTGCCTGTAACGAGAGGTGCGGAGACGCAGAGATGCGGAGCGGCATGATTTTCGTATGGGACCGCCTGGCCACGCCACTAGGCGGGATCAGCAATAGAAACCGCATGTGAGAGGTTGCGTTGCGAGGCGGGAAAAGCGACCTGAATGCGAGTGGCTCACCTGCTTGGCCTTTGTGTTTCGCCGACGCGAGCTCGGGGACGAATGCACGAATCGCGGAAATCAACGGCTCGAGATTCGCCCACTTCATGCCGCCTACCACGTTCGTGATTTCTACAACGATTCTGAGCGGTAAACACGGCGCAGCTGACGGGGAGTTCCTGAAGCGGCGGCTGAGAAAAGGTAAGAGCATAGACAAATTAGTTGCTACAGGGGGAAGCGGAAATCCCTAGTTGGCGCCTAGCTTGCCCCGTTATTGATGACTAATGAAATTCTCAGACGGATCCGTTATTGGAGGCTCGATAAGTTACATTAACCTGGTTGTGTCCACTGAAACTCGTACAGACTTCTGGGAGTTGATCCAAGTCCTTTGAGACCTCGTGAGGGACAGATAGACGCCAGCGGTTCAGAACGGTGAATGCATCACCGCTTCAAATTGCACGGCATTGCACTCAACCCAACTCCTCAAACACAAAGTGAACATCCCTGTGACACCATATTTGTCAGGAGGTGCTTGCATCGTGAAGCAGCCATCTGCAGAATCCCATTCCTCTACCGCTGTAGTCCCACATTCAGCTCTCATTCCTCAGATCGACGGCGTGATAGGCTCGCCAAGTGACGCCCGTGTGTTGTCCGACAGACATCCATCGCGCCGGTGCTATCGTCGATTTCTCTCGGTCACTTAGGCGATACCGTATTCCGTCGCTTCCATTTCTTTGCGTCGCATTCGCGTTGAATTCGAATTCAGTCGCATCTAAGTCGCATCGAGCTGTCGCAGATCCGGCGACGTCATGGGCGATAGTCAATACTCCTTCTCCCTCACCACCTTCAGGTGATAATTCCGCATACCTCATCCTCCGTGCTCCCGTCTTTCCCTCCTCTCTACTGCGATTCTGTCGACATGAACTTGCAGTCAGACTTTCCAGGTTTTCTAACGGGTCGCTGCCAGTTCCGTTCCTGACCTAATTCTCGTCCACCTCCCCCATCTCCTCGTCGTATGCAGCCCGTCAGGGAAGCTGGTGCAGATCGAGTATGCACTCAACGCCGTGGCTGCCGGTGCCACGTCGCTCGGCATCAAAGGTGCGTACCGTTCCGTCCGCTCAGGCCTCCAACACTGTCATACTCGCTACAGAAGTCATCACGAGCCGTTTCTGAGTCGAAGGATTTATTGTAACGCAAGGCCACTCATGACTTGATTTTCCCCGCTCACCCCCCTTGCTTGCTCACGCCGCAATTTCATATTTCCGTTCCCGCATCCCACCGTTGCAGCGACCAATGGCGTGGTGATTGCCACGGAGAAGAAGCTTCCTACAGAGCTCATAGACGAGACCTCGGTACGCCTCTTTCTTGCGCCCAGGCAACTTCTAGGTTGATTCACAGGCACTGGTAGTTCATTGTGGAATGACTGGTGTGACTGTTGTGGTGTTCACTCATGTGCGTGTTTCAGGTGAAGAAGATTCAACTGCTCACGGACAACTCGGGAGTTGTCTACAGGTGTGCGTCTCTCTCCCAACCCACCAACACAGTCCTGTCCTGGCTCAACCTCTTGTGCCCATGCACCCATGTACCCCACAAACGGCCTCACTCGCATGTGAACATGAAGTGATTTTGGCCTTGATTAGGAAACCACAACACCTCCCAAAATTTTCCGTTGTCTCCCTCTGCTCTCTCCACCGCCAGTGGCATCGGGCCTGACTCTCGGGTGCTAGTGAGGAAGAGCCGCAAGTCAGCACAGTCCTACTACAGTGTGTACAAGGTGAGTCATGCTATAGCGAGTACAGGGTGACGCCCGTAATAAGCATAATATGCTTTCACATTGCTCCCCCCAACCCTTTTTTTTGGTCCTATCTCCCAGCCCTCTGCCACGCCTCCTCCCAAGTGCACCACCACGCATGCTCATGCCCATCCCCAGCCCACCCTGTCCCTCACGCGCCCTCGTGGCACCACGCTGTGCATTCATGTGGCAGGAGGGCATTCCGCCGTCACAGCTGGTGCTCACCACCACGTGCCGTGCCACACATGCCCATCGCCGTGCCACACATGCCCATCCCCGTGCCACACGTGCCCATCCCCGTGCCACACATGCCCATCGCCGTGCCACACATGCCCATCCCCGTGCCACACGTGCCCATCCCCGTGCCACACATGCCCATCGCCGTGCCACACATGCCCATCGCCGTGCCACACATGCCCATCGCCGTGCCACACATGCCCATCGCCGTGCCACACATGCCCATCGTCGTGCTCCTCCTCCTCACCCCCTCTCATGCTCACGTGACCCCCCCCATGCATGTGGCAGGAGGGCATTCCAGTGTCGCAGCTGGTGCGGGAGACAGCGGCGGTCATGCAGGAGTTCACTCAGTCAGGGTGAGGCACGGCCACCTGCAAGTCAATCTGTGTTGTTGCAAGTCAATCTGTGTTGTTGCAAGTCAATCTGTGTTGTTGCAAGTCAATCTGTGTTGTTGCAAGTCAATCTGTGTTGTTGCAAGTCAATCTGTGTTGTTGCAAGTCAATCTGTGTTGTTGCAAGTCAATCTGTGTTGTTGCAAGTCAATCTGTGTTGTTGCAAGTCAATCTGTGTTGTTGCAAGTCAATCTGTGTTGTTGCAAGTCAATCTTTGTTGTTGCAAGTCAATCTGTGTTGTTGCAAGTCAATCTGTGTTGTTGCAAGTCAATCTGTGTTGTTGCAAGTCAATCTGTGTTGTTGCAAGTCAATCTGTGTTGTTGGATTGGAAAAAGTCAATCTGGACGTCTGAAAAAAGTCATTAGTTTTGCAGTCAGTTAGTGGTGGAAACATCGCCTGTCATGCCGGGGTTCAATCAATCTGGGTGAGACAGGGGGTTCTATGCGGTCAGGTGAAGTTGTAATTTCACAATGGCAGGTGCTACAGTTGTTGACAAGTCTGGGTCTGAAAGTGTTTGAACCTGAACCTGTGGAACATGCCTAGTGTACGTGAGGAGGAGCAAAGGCAGAGATAATCACTGAGCATGCTGCATGAGGCATCTCTCATGTCTCAACCTCTGTCAACCTCTCTCAACCTCTCACTTGTTCTTCTCTCTCCGTTCTTGCATGTGCGCCATACCCACTTGACACATGTACCGTACCCACATGCACCATGCATTGTGACAGGGGGGTGAGGCCGTTCGGTGTGTCGCTGTTGATGGCGGGGTATGACTCACAGGGCCCGCACCTGTACCAGGTGGATCCCTCGGGTTCCTACTTCGCATGGAAGGCCTCCGCCATTGGCAAGAACATGACCAACGCCAAGACGTTTCTTGAGAAGAGGTCAGAAAGGGGAAGAGTAATAGTTTTCGACTTTGCCTTTCAACCCAGACGGTTGCTGGTGCTTGAAAATGCGTTCTGATTTTGTTTTTTTTGTGAATGACTAACAGTTCGTGGGTTGTTCTTATATGGCGGTGTGCTTATATGGAGTGTGCTTGTATGGGGTGTGTTTGTATGGGGTGTGCTTGTATGGGGTGTGCTTGTATGGGGTGTACATGCCTGTATCAGGTATACAGAGGACATGGAGCTAGAGGATGCGATTCACACGGCCATTCTCACTCTCAAAGAAGGGTACGTGTGGCCCCTCTTACTCTCACGGAATGGAAGGTTCTTTGTAGCTGTGCTGGGAAAGAGTGTCGTCTTGTGAAGCACTATGCCTCTTGACTTTAAGGAAGTTTCTTGGTTGATTCTGCTGTCTGGCTGTTGTTGGGTCTGTCATCCTCAGCTCTTAATCCCTCTTCCTCCCCCTCCCATGTTGCACTCTCTCACCAGGTTTGAGGGGCAAATTGCAGGCGACAACATTGAGATTGGTATTGTGGGCAGCGACAAGAAGTTCAGGTGAGTGCGAGAGTGAGCGAAAGAAGGGGTATGTTACCCTGCATCTCGCGGCGAGATGGAAGTATTTGCTTTCCTGGACTTAATTTTGATCCTGTCTTGTCACCTGAACCCCTTTTTTTGTTTTGTGTACGTCTTCCTGTGTACGTGCTCTGTTGCAATGACAGAGTGCTAACCCCAGCTGAAGTGAATGACTATCTGGCAGAAGTGGAGTGACCTGCTAGCTGTTGCCATATGGCTGGCTAGCCTTCAATGCCACCAATATATTTTTTTCCTCTCGATCTGTTACCTGGCCTGCGTAGTGCATTGTGCGTGCTGGCAACATTCTCTAACAGAAATGGAAGATAGGTTCACCCCCAACTCCATCCTAGTCATTCTTAGCCCAGACATACAACTGCAGTATCGTGTCAATTTCAGCACCTTATCTACATTAAGAGTAAGTGCGGCGTTCAACACCGCGTACATCGGTGGCAGACTGTCTGACAACACAGCATGGAGTTGACTTTCGCGACTCCACCGCATAAGAAAATCAAAGCCTATGCAACCGACATTCCCATCCAATCACAAGCACAAATTCCAACGTTGATGAATCTCCTCCCAGTCGAGGTTACTAACATAGTCGTATGTTTCTCCCAACTGCTCTTAGCATTTCCTGCTTCGTGCGTATTCCCGCCGACGCCAAGAGTTGCGTATCAGGTTAGGCGATAAGGATCGTCAGCGATCACTACTAGCCTGGCTTTTCCAAGTGGCTGCAGTCGTCGCTTGAAACGTGCGGAGTAGCAGCTATTTAGTAGTCTGGCATTTTTCGTTCGACGGAATCTAGGTTGAGTAGTACTTGCTGGAAGGCTGTCGGTAGAACGTTATTTGAATCGATTAGAGCTTCCGCATCCTAATCTTTTATGAGAGACGTCTGTAAGGAACATCATCGGATGACTTTCGCTGCCGTAAGCGTCCTGTTGTTTCTAGACATTGCATTGGCCCTAGCGCTGAACTATACGCACGGCGGTGCAGCTAATATCGCGTATAACGTCCAGAACGTTGGTCACCGCCATGGCCTCCTCGAGATCTCCCTCGCCGTTCCTCGCGGATCGATTCCCCTCGCTCCGTCGCAACGTGAGGCCCATCCGTTGTCCCCATTTTCTCCACTTATCCCCATTATCCGCATCTGACATGGATTTTATCGCTGGTATTGCTGTAGAGGCAAGACGCCTAACACATGACAGGCAAACAAAAACGTATAGAAGCTCTCAGGTCAGGCGTCTGGAATCTAGTATTGATGGACTCCCAGGCATTGCCCTGAAGCCTGACATCGGCGCATTTCTACCTCAGCTCATCCCCTACTTTCCTAGCCGCCTCCCTCAAATGTCTTTCTCCTAAGCGTCATTCCCTTGGTTATTTTTTCCAAAATGTCATATCCTCAGATCAGATGTCATTCATCTGAATGTCATTCCCCTGGTGTCTTGCGTGTTCCACCCCAGCCTTCTCCGCTGCTTTCCGTCCCTCTCCTCTCTCCATATGCACTCTCGCAAAATCCACTTCACCTGCTCGCTGATGCACCGTCTTCCACCTCCCTCCATCTCCCTTCACCGCACTCCACCTCTCTCAGTGCGTGCGCTGCTAGCCATCAACCGTGCTGTGAGGGCATGGCCGAGCAACAGCAACCACTCGCTCTCCTGCAACCACTGGGCTGGAGTCACATGCGACGCTCGAGGCTTCGTCACCCGTTTGTAAGTCACCTTTGAGAGAAAAAGAAGTTTGAGTCACTTTTGAGAAAGAGTCGTCTGTGAAAGAGTCGCCTGGGAGTGAGTCCCCTGGGAATGACTTGTCTGCAGTCTCTGAGGTCACACAAGGTAGCACCCCGCGGGTCACAAGCCTCAACAATCTGTGTGTGAGCGATACACACATGCTTATGTGTGCCGAGCCAGCCCATATCTCTTCCTGACCTCTTTCACTCCATACCTCCGTTTCTCCCCCTGGGCTGTTGTAACGCCTGTGGGCTAGTCTTAAGGGCAGTCCGATGCGCCAAATAACACCCTCGTTTTGACCCAGTGGGTAGCAAGGTGTTATACTGGTATCAGAGCCTAGGGCTCGAATCTTGTCTGGACCACACTCTCCGCCTTTGGCGAGAACTGACGTGTGGTTGGAACCAGCTCGAACCCAGCGAACGATCCTCCGCTGACTTCACCCAGCGAAGTCGCTGCTTGGAACACAGCGAATAGGTCCCTGCGGGGGGCCGACTCCCTGAAGTAGAGAGCCAACGGGGACGTTGGCGCCAGGAGGGGACGAGTGTAACGCCTGTGGGCTAGTGTTAAGGGCAATCCGCTGCGCCAAATAACACCCTCGTTTTGACCCAGTGGGTAGCGAGGTGTTATAGCTGTTGCCCCCCTGCCTCTCGCCCCTCCGGATTCTTGCCTGCTGGGCTCGTGCTTTCCCCCCCGTGGCTCTGCTACAGGGACCTGTCGCAAGTGGGGACGTTGTCAGGCTCACTGCCTCCTTATGCACTCACCCAGCTATGGCGCCTCACATACCTGTACGTGCCTGTACGTGCCTGTACATGCATGTACGTGCTTGTACGTGCTTATTATACCTGTATATGTACCGCATGCGAGTAAGTCACGTACTGTGTATGAAACCACTCACGGGTGTGCCTGCACACGCCCCTGTGTAAGTCCTGCCTGCATTCCCTGCATGCCACATATGTGCGTGTGGACTGGTGGTTCCCCTCCCCCGTCAGGAGCCTGGCCAACAGCCCTCAAGTCCAGGGAAAGCTGCATGCCGTCACCCTCCCACCAGCCCTTGCTTTCCTGTAAGTCACCTTGCAGTGGTGTAAAAGGCCTTCCTGTAAGAGACCTTGCGACGCACCGCATGGCACTGCACTGCACTGCACCGCACCGCACCGTACGGCACCACACCACGCTGCACGGCACTGCACGGCACCGCATTGCACGGCTCGGCATCGCACCGCACCACACGGCACCGGGAGGCACGGCACCGCATGCCATCCCCCCCCCACCCAGCTGCATCTGCCCCAAGCTGCATCTGCCCCAAGCTGCATCTGCCCCAAGCTAACCAGACTGAGTCTGCATGGCCGCAAGCAATGTGATGCCCATAAGGCCTCCGCTGCCCACCTCTCCTTCGTTGACCAGTCCCATAAGCGCTCATCACTTCCATCCTCACCCCCTCTCCCCAATCCAACCATTCAGTCCTACCCCAACCTCTACCCTCCATGCTTGTCGTGAACCCTGCTAAGGGCCCCCCTTACTTGCGCCCTCTCTCTCGCTGTGCCCGCTCGCCCATGGCAGGGACCTCTCATACACAGCTGTGTCCGGCGCCTTGCCCAACACTCTCTCCACCCTCACCAACCTGGCTTATCTGTAAACTACCTCTGTGTGCCTCCGCTTCTTGAGGTGCCACCTGGCTTACCAGTAGGAACCAGGCTAACCTGGCACATACCTGCTCTGAATGCCCAGAGAGCAAGAGTGAATACGCCTGGCGTGGCGCATCTGCCTGGGAGTTGCCTCTGCCTGCCTCCTCCTCTATTCCTTCCCCCTGCTCACTCCCATCCATGCCTCTCGCTCATCTGCCGCCTCTTAACTGCTTCGCCTTCCATTCCGTCAACAGTTCCAGAGCTTTTCTATGGGGCTTGTAGTCTCTCACTGTGCTCCCTTTCTTCTTTTATGTGCATGTCGCTGTGTTTTGGCGTGGTTTTGCATGGTGTGGTATGGTGTGACACGGTGTGACGTGGTGTGGCGTGGTATACCCTTGCACCAGTGACATTTCGGCCACTCAAGTATCCGGACCTATTCCCTCCACCTTCTCCAGCCTCACCAACCTCCAGCACCTGTGAGTGCCACGCAATTCTTCCATGCTGCACCATGTCTTTGCTCCCTTGCCCCTGCTTCCTTGCCCCTGCTTCCTTGCCCCTGCTTCCTTGCCCCTGCTTCCTTGCCCCTGCTTCCTTGCCCCTGCTTCCTTGCCCCTGCTTCCTTGCCCCTGCTTCCTTGCCCCTGCTTCCTTGCCCCTGCTTCCTTGCCCCTGCTTCCCTGCATCCCGTTTTATCCTGTTTCCATAATCCTCTGCCCTGCTCCCCCAATCTATCCCACAGGGAACTCGCATACACATCCTTATCAGGACAGCTGCCGTCCACGTTATCTGCACTGTCCAAGCTCTCCCACCTGTGGGTCCCGTTTCCACGCCTCACCCCCATAACCCCCATCACCCCCATCACCCCCATAACCCCCATCACCCCCATCACCCCCATCACCCCCATCACCCCCATCACCGCCATCACCCCCATCACCCCCATCACCCCCATCACCGCCATCACCCCCATCACCGCCATCACCCCCATCACCCCCATCACCGCCATCACCCCCTCTGTGAAAGTTCCTGCTACGTCTCTCATCAACCTCCACTACCCACCACACCCACCACCGCCCAGAAACATTCACCTGCAAGGCGGCCAGGTGGGAGGCTCCATCACCACACTCACCTTCGTGTCCCTCCTCACCCCCTCTTCTTGTTTACCCACTGCACCACACCATACTACACGTGACACTGCACCCACCACCACCACCAATCCCCCAGGAACATTCACCTGCAGGGCGGCCAGGTGGGAGGCTCCATCACCACGCTCACCTTTGTGTCTCACCTAACCCGCCTGCACACGCTGGAGCTCTTTGGATTCGACGCCATGACAGACGGCCACATGACCTCCCTCAGCGGCCTCTCCACCCTCACCCGCCTGCAGAAGCTGTGAGTGCCCTCACCAGTCACCACCACTCTCTCTCACCTTTGTGTCGCACCCCACCCGCCTGCACACGCTGGAGCTGTTTGGCTTCGATGTCATGACAGACGGCCACATGACTGACTGCTCTCAGCGGCCTCTCTACACTCACCCGCCTGTACAAGCTGTGAGTGTCGCTCGCTTGCTTGCTAAAGTCCACCTTAATTTTCTCAATGCGTTTCTCTATATGTCCTCGGATCCATCCTCAATTCCATTGCTACTGATCTCATGCATCCCAATCTGCTATTTTCTGCCCTCTGGTTGTAACCCACTGATTTGTAACCCACTTATTTCGCCATCAGTGTGCTAGGGGACCTGGGCAGAGTGGTAGGGGAGCTGCCCTATCAACTCGGCTTCCTCACTCAGCTCACCCACCTGTAATCACCGCACTGGACCCCCCTGCACCTCTCAACGTGCATTTTGCCTCCTTGTGTGCTGCTGTGCTGCTCCTGGTCTGAGGGGTATCTATCCTCTTTTCACCGCTTCTCACCTCCTTGCACCGCACTGAGACGCTCCCAACCAGCACCTACTTCAGGAATGTGTCTTGCAACTTCGCCAACCCCTTCCCCAACACACTCCTCTTCACCAACCGCGCCCTCTTCTCCCACTTCCCCACCGGGCACCGATCTCAACCCCTCTACACCGCCAGGGACCTGTCTTACAACTACTTTTCCGACTTCCCAACCTGGATTGTTGACCTCACCCGCCTCCAGTACATGTGAGCGCTCAGCAGAGCACACAAACAGGCCCTGTTCAACAAGGAGCAATCACATGCCTCCCCGCATCTCAGTAGAAATTTCTCATTTTTATTGGCCAGTAATAATTTTCATGTCTGAATTGGAATGTTTTGAAACTGTCAAAGATCCCTCCTGTGCGCGCACCATTCCTGGCCTGGCACCCTCCCGCCCTGGCAGAGACGTGTTGCACCAGTACGAGCAGCGCTGGGGCTACATTCCCCGCGACCTTGACAGGCTCACCGGCCTCCGCACCTTGTCAGTCAGTGCCGCACCTTGTCAGTCAGTGCCGCACCTTGTCAGTCAGTGCCGCACCTTGTCAGTCAGTGCCGCACCTTGTCAGTCAGTGCCGCACCTTGTCAGTCAGTGCTGCACCTTGTCAGTCAGTGCCGCACCTTGTCAGTCAGTGCCGCACCTTGTCAGTCAGTGCCGCACCTTGTCAGTCAGTGCCGCACCTTGTCAGTCAGTGCCGCACCTTGTCAGTCAGTGCCGCACCTTGTCAGTGCCCAGTGCTGCTCAAGCAGTGAGCTTCCTTTGACTGCACTACCGTCTAGGCATGTGGCCATGAGTGATATCTTAGCTTCTCATTCCACACCCTGCATTGCCTCTCTTCCTGCAGTCTTGCTGTCGGCAACGGCCTGTCGGGCTTCCTCCCAGAGACGTGGAGCAGACTCACTGCACTGGAACGCCTGTGAGTGATTCTGGGTCTGATTCCTCAGTCCTTCCTCGTTCCGCTTGCTCGCCACACCGCCCTTCCTGCGCCTCCCTTTTTACACCTTTCCTCCCCAGATATCTGAAATGTTTTGATATGAGACAACTCGACACTTGCCCTGTCCCGTACCTTGCTTCTCTCTGCTCTCTCTCAGAAATCTGTAAGGCACCTCAAGAGCAGTTCTGCACTGTCGCCCTGCCCTCCCACCACCTCTCATTTAACTCAATTCTCTCTCAGCGATCTGCAAGGGAACAAGCTGGAAGGCTCCATTCCAGGCAGCTACTCCGTTCTTAAAGCCCTTACCTACCTGTGAGTGCTGCTGCCCACCCATTCACCTCATCCCAGCATACCATTCAAGTCCCACACGAGCACTCTATTGTCTCTCTGCACCTTATTTAAATGACAAGCACCTTGTTTTCTCCACAGGAGGTCCTCCTCACAGCTCTACAACTCAGTGAATCGAAGGCCATCTTGCTCACATCACACTGCTCTGTCCATCACCCCTGCACCCAGCAACCTCAACACCAACAGGCTCTCAGGGACGCTTCCTCAAGTTTTCTCGTCCAACTTAGAGACTCTGTACGCCCAGCTTGAGTCATTCCTCACTCATATGCCGCGTTCTGGACCGTTTTTAGCCCTGCTGGGCGGCTGTGGTCGTGTTTGTGTTGAGCCACGCGCTAGCCGCACATATAAACCTGTGGTCATGTCTCACTCACGCGTATCTCGAATGTGCTCTGTTTCCACTCCCCTTCGCTCAGCAACCTTGGCAACAACCAATTTAGCGGACCCATTCCGGACTTCCTGGGATCACTGCCTAACCTCATGGAGCTGTGAGTCACGTGGATGCTCACAAGGGGTAAGGAGGGCAGCCCTGCTCAATCTCATGAAGCTGTAATTCAGGCAATAATCTGCATGAATTATGGCCAGTGGCTGCAAGATCCTAAAAATCTCGCAATGCTCTTCTTTCTGCACTTCCCCGAGTTTTATGATGTGTCACACCCTTTTATGGAGCAATTTCCTCACTGCATGTTTTTTCAGGGAGTTAAGGAACAACCTACTTGTGGGAGGCATCCCTCGCACCTTCACTGGACTGGTGTATATGCGTGAGCTGTAAGTGAGCGATACGTGATCAGAGCTGACAGGATCTGAAGGAGCCTCAATTGTACCAAGTATAGATTTAACTCAAAGTCAAGCAACTCATGACGCACCGAGTTGAGTTAAATTGACAGCCGTCAGATGGCTTATGACTCGATTCCTGCTCACATCACAGGCGTTTTTCTCACCATGCATCCCACACCGTGCACCCCAAGCGATTCTCCGTGTATGTGATGTGATCTTAACCCACTGTCTACAATCCATGCAGGTCCCTGGGTGGAAATAAGCTCAACAGCGGACTCGATGTTGTTTCGGACATGCCATGGCTCGCCATGCTGTAAGAAAATATGCTACCGCGCTGGCACCCCAGAACGACATACCGTTCTTGCATTCCATGTGCACACGAAGCCAGGTCCCTTGTTTCAGCTCGTCCTCCCTTGTGTCAATCACCTCACCTCACCATCATGGCCCAAACTTGGTAGTGATGTGGGTGTGGGCACCTCAACCCTTGCCAAGCTTTGCCCCACGCCATGGCGCGGCACAACCTTACTAGCCTCGTCCCGCATGCCCGGCAGCAACTTAAAGAGCAACAACTTCTCAGGGACTGTGCCCGCCTCCCTCTCATCCCTCACCGCCCTCCAGTTCCTGTGAGTCACTGCCCCTCACCGCTCAACCTCCTCACTGCCTTCCCACCCCCCCCCCCCTCTTCCCTTTCGCAATCCCACATTCTCCCTTGCACTGCCACCCTTGCATTTGCGCACCTTCCCTCTCCCCGCACGCAATTCTCCCTTCCTTTGCTCCCTTCATTTGTGGGGGGGGCCTAAACGATTGACTGATCGCAGCACGCACCCCTTGCGTTGGCTGGATGATTCCCTCCCTATCAGCGAGTTGGGCGAGAACCAGTTCTCAGGAAGCTTCCCCGCTGTTGTCCTTGCCCTCACCAGCCTCGTCGCTCTGTATGTCATCCCATGCTGACATGGCCATGCTGATGTGGCAGTGCTGATGTGGTGGTGCTGATGTGGTGGTGCTGATGTGGCAGAGATTATGTGGCGGTGCTGTGCCCATGCTGATGTGCTCAAGCCTGGCCATTCCATGCTGATGACATGCGCTGCTGCTCTGCCGGTCTGCAGTTGTCTCGCCATGCTGTATGCCTTCAGCCCCAACTAGCATGCACTCGCCTTGCAGTACTTTGCTTGCTCCCCGGCCTCACGGCACAGCAAAGCTTCTCAGCCGTGTTCCTCCTCCTGTCTCCACTCCTGCCTCCGTCCGTCCGTCCCTCCCTCCCTCCCGCAGTGGCTTGCAGGGCAATGGACTTTCGGGTTCGATTCCACTGGGAGTGTCTACCCTGGTTAACCTCAACGACCTGTGAGTCCACAATGCCTTGGGTTTAAGATTTAGTGCGTCAAGTCCTTGGGTAGTAACTAACTCCGTACCTTCATTGCCCTGTTCATCCCCCATGCTCTCCCCACATCCATCATACTCTCCCGCCCTTCTACTCATATCACTGGCATGCCCACGCCCCTGCTCCAAAGTCGAAGGGTCGCATGTAAATGGGTGCCTGCATCTGCTGCCTTTTGAGTCGACTCAAAAGAAGGGTCGCGTGTAAATGGGTGCCTGCATCTGCTGCTTCTGCTGTCTCTGCCGACTCTTCTGTCACTGCTCTGCTCTGCTCTGCCCTACTGTGCCACACGGCATGCAGGGAGGTGAGCGACAACCGTTTTCATGGCAGCATCCCAGACGCTCTCTTCTCCCTCACATCTCTCCGCACCCTGTGAGCCTCAACTCTCAAGCCATTTTCCAGAAGCATATATCCGAAAGCTTTAAATTGGAGCCCAGGAGATAGCATGAGCAATGTTTTGCTGGCTCGCAAGAATCTCATGTCCTTTCTTTACTGCTCTGGAACATTTTCCTGGCGGAAACGCACTGTGACTACCATCTCTTGATGCTCTGAGATTTCCGGATGGAGAATAGATTGGATCTCTGTGCGTGTGTGTGGGCAGCATGGCGTCGCGCAACCTGCTCTCCGGCGCCCTGCCCTCCGCCCTTCAAACCTCAGCTTCCCTGGAACAACTGTACGCCGCATTGCACCAGCTATGGGCCACAGGGTGGTGGATTCGGCACTGATGAAGGCTTGCTAGGGGCTTCCCTACAGCCGAAACATGTTTGTCTGTGTTTTAGCCACTGCTTAGTGAAGAGCTTCGTTCTTACAAAACCCTACGCGAATTAGCTAGGATTTACTACAACACCTGTTTTCTCCTTTGCTAAACTTTCTCCTCCACTGCTGCTCGCTGGATCATGTATAACAGTCCGCCCTTCAAACCTCAGCATCCCTGGAACAACTGTGGGCTGCATTGCACCAGCTATGCGCCACAGGGTGGACCATGTGCCACAGGGTGGACCATGCGCCACAGGGTGGACCATGCGCCACAGGGTGGACCATGCGCCACAGGGTGGACCATGCGCCACAGGGTGGACCATGCGCCACAGGGTGGACCATGCGCCACAGGGTGGACCATGCGCCACAGGGTGGACCATGCGCCACAGGGTGGACCATGCACCACAGGGTGGACCATGCGCCACAGGGTGGACCATGCGCCACAGGGTGGACCATGCACCACAGGGTGGACCATGCGCCACAGGGTGGACCATGCGCCACAGGGTGGACCATGCACCACAGGGTGGACCATGCGCCACAGGGTGGACCATGCGCCACAGGGTGGACCATGCGCCACAGGGTGGACCATGCACCACAGGGTGGACCATGCGCCACAGGGTGGACCATGCGCCACAGGGTGGACCATGCGCCACAGGGTGGACCATGCGCCACACTTGAGCCGCGTCTTTCTCTCACCGCTGCATCGAGCCCGGGCGCCAATGCAAACCCCTCCTCTGCTGCCATGCCTGCGCGCCCCTGCAGGCACCTAGAGGGCAACGGGATTGCAGGGTCTCTACCGGACTTCTCTCGCTGGAACACGTCTCTCACTGCTCTGTACGGTCGCTGTATGGCCACTGGTGTGGGTGTGGGTAGGTGTAGCTTTCTCTGGCAACGGGCTTGCAGGGTCTCTACCGGACTTCCCTCGCTGGAACACGTCTCTCTATGCTCTGTACGGTCGTTGCTGTGTGTGTGCAACGGGTAGATAGGGGTAGGGTAGCCTTGTCACGCCATGACCGGTGTGTCTCTAGACGGCTTTATTACATGAACTGTGTAGTGTGCCCACTGCCATGCGGCCACTGCCGTGCAGGTGAGGTAGCTTATCGTCTTGTGCCACCGACAGCACAAAGCCACCGCCACCGCCACCGAAGAAGATATGCACGTCCACTGCAGAAGAAGATATGCTCAGTGCATGGCCACCGCCACCGACAGCACAAAGCAATCGCATTGTGCCTCGCGTGCATATCTTCTTCTGCAGATGCATATGCACTACTGCTGTTCGCAAGGAATGCTGCTTCCCATCCGTGCCCGGCCATCAGGTTCCTAGCAGGCAACAACCTCACGGGCCATATCCCCCCCTCCATCTCCACCCTCACCTCCCTCCTCATCCTGTGAGTCACCCGCTGCATCTGAGCAGCTCATACTCACCCACTTGCTTATTCTGAGCCTCTGCTTCTGAGGCACCTCGATGAATGTGCATGAGATAAAGGTTGATTGAGATGCCCCGTAAGTGAAACAAGTTGCGGCTCGTGTGTGCTCGTGGGTCATTGACAAGTATGTTAACCTGCCAATGACCCACGAGCACACACGCGTTGTTGTTAACCTGCCAATGACCCACGAGCACACACGCGTTGTTGTTAACCTGCCAATAGTTGTGCGTATGTATGAGAGGTACCCTATAGGGTAGTCTTGGCACACGTGGCTTACCCTTTGATTGACACGTGTGGCATGTTGTTTGAAAATCTTTCTACACGTCTTGTGCCATGTGCTGTGGCTTGTGCTATTGGTTGTGCGGTGGCATGTGCAGTAGCCTGCACAACAATCAGTTGGATGGACCCTTCCCAACCAGCCTCCTCTCCATCACCTCCCTCGAGTCCTTGTGAGCGCACCCTACTTTTGAGGCGCCTCAAAATTAGACTCCCTGTGAGCCCACCTGCCTGGGACTAGTGCAAGCAGTGAAACCGTGCTAGCACGCAATGCACTGTTTTTGAGGCTCCTCAAAAGTTGTTTTTGAGGTGCTTCAAAACACAGCAACCAGTTGGATGGGCCCTTCCCAACCAGCCTGCTCTCCATCACCTCCCTCGAGTCCCTGTGAGCCCTCCCTCCTGGGACATGGCAAAGCCATGGAACACACGCACAAGAGTGAAGCCAACACTTTTCACATTTCCCCCATTCATCCTGGGGATGTGGGCCATTATATTATTATATATTACATATTATTCAAGACCGGCTAGAGTTTTTGGGGCACGTTATTTCGGAGGCTGGGGTCGAAATTGACCCAAAGAAGTTAGACACAGTGAAAGCCTGGCACCCCCCCACAAATATCACGGAACAACAGAGCTTTTTGGGGTTCGTCAATTACGTGCGTCGGTTCGTCCCCGACATGGCACGGTTAACAGCGCCGCTGACGGATTTGTTACGGAAGGGGGTCGCTTTTACGTGGGGGGAGAAAGAGCATGCTACCTTCTCTGCCCTGAAAAATGTTCTCTGTTCACCACCCGTCCTGCGCATCGCTGACCCACACCGCCCATTCGAAATAGTTACCGACGCAAGCGACATCGCCATCGGAGCCGTACTACTACAGGACATCGGCAACGGCCTACAGCCCATCGCATACGAGTCACGAAAATTGCATCCGCCCGAGAAAAATTACCCGATACACGACCGCGAAATGCTTGCGATCGTGCACGCGTTCGAAGCGTGGCGCTGTTACTTGACCGGCGCAGACGTGACAGTACGGACAGACCATAAATCACTACAGTACCTCCGCGCACAGCCACACTTCAACCCACGACAGATTCGTTGGCTCGATTTTCTCGAGTCCAATTTTCACTATACGGTCACCTACACAAAGGGAGCCTCGAACATCGCCGACGCACTGACCCGTCCCACTGCCCACATCCATGCAATACTACTTGCCCAGACTCGCAGAGGTATATATGCAACAACAACAGTACAGTGATCACTACCTAGCAAGAGTAAACATGCAGGTAGATATATATAGATCACAGTACAACCAAAATCTACAGCAAGTGAGGAAACGTAGGCACCAGGCCTAGAGCAGTGCAGAAGCGCTGATGATCACCAGCCGGAAAGGCCTTGGTGAACACATCAGCCATGTTCGCCAGGGTGGGCACGTGGGCGACACGAAGCTGACCACGCTGCTGCAACTCTCGAGCAAGGAAATAACGCAGAGCGATGTGCTTCGTTCTGTGCTCCAGTCTGTGGTCCTAATACAAGGCAATGGCAGCCTTGTTGTCGACGTACAGAGTTGGAGGAGAACAAGGCCTCTCTCCCAAGTCGGTTAGCAGGTAGGTCAGCCAGCGTAACTCTTGTGCAGCCATGGCTGTGGCGTAGATCTCAGCCTCACAACTGGAGCTGAGAATAAAAGACGAGCGGGTAGACCGCCAAGAAACAGAGCCAGAGTCAAGGCTGAACGTGTAACCTTGTGACGACCGCTGCGTAGCCAGCTTGTCAACCCAAGAAGCGTCTGAGTGCCCAGTGAGGACAACTGAGCTCCGCTCTCCAAGCACGAGCCCCATGCCTGATGTACTGCACAAGTAGCGCAGTACCCTCTTCGCAGCATCGAAGTCTACCTTTCGGTGCCTACCAGGAGCCACGTAGCATGCCAGGAGGCCAAGAGGGTACGCAAGGTCAGGACGAGTGCAGGATATCAGGTACATGAGGTAGCCCACTAGCTCTGGGTACGGACCACTCGGCTCTACGGACTTGCCGAAGCTGGAGCTGAGAGTGAGTGACCTATAGCCAGGGGAATGGACGGTGGCGAGGACCAAGTGAAGCCGAAGTGCTGAAGGACCTGCTGCACCATGTGCGACTGAGTCAGTGTGATGGTGCGCCGTGCTCTGTCCCGGGTGATCTGCAGGCCAAGGTAGCTGCGCAGCTCATCCAGGTCTGTGCACGTGGGTCTCTTCTGCATATCCGACTTCACAAGGGCGAGAGCCTCAGTGTCAGCATTTTCACAGACCAAGTTGTCGACGTACATGAGGATGTAGAACGGCGGCAACGAAGTGTCGGTGCGTAGAAACAGCGACGGGTCAGCAGTGGAAGGTGCAAACCCAGGAGCCGCAAGTGTCGTCCTCAATGTGTCGTGCCACTCACGAGGCGCCTGACGGTGACCGTAGACTGGCCGGCGGAGGCTCCATTGGGTTCCAGGAGGGAACGACCCAGTGAAGCCAGGTGGGCGGCGCAGCCAGATCTCCTCGTGCAAACTGCCCTGTAAGAACGCTGTGCTGAAGTCCAAAGAGTGAAGCTCGTAGTCACGCTAAGCGGCAACGTGCAGCAGCACCCAAAGAGTGGCCATCTTCGAGGTGGGAGAGAAGGTCTGGAAGAAGTCAACTTTCTATCGCTGACTAAAGCCTTGTGCAATGTATTGAGCCTTGAAGACAGGCGGAGAACCTGGCGGTCGCTTCACTCTAAATATCCACTTGCCATTGACTACGTTCGCCCTTGGAGGGGGAACTGCGTCGGCGTAGGTGCCTGTGGACTTCGAGGATGCCATCTCTGCGTCCATGGCTATCTGCCACTGAGAGAAGTACTCACCCACGATCGCCTCAACGTAAGAGCGCGGGGTCGGGATGTTTGGAGCATCAGGATCTCCCTCAGAGGCAAGCAGCATGGCCACGAGATGATGCGCAATGGCTGCAAGACACTCAAAGTCCTCCTGCCTGTCGTTTAGGACGTCCGTGCCAAGAGCACACTCACCCCCGACGGACAGAGGATAGACAGATTTAGACTCAGCAACAAGACCAGCAGCGAAGTCTAGACGACAGGCAGCAGCAAAGTCAACAGGTTTAGAGACTAAGGCAGACGCAGCAGCAGACTCAAACGACGGGCCAGTGAGAACAGTGGCTAGCAGCAGACGCGTGACAGTAGGGTGAGCAGCACGAACCAGGTCAGACTCAGGGTCTTGAACATCAGGCAGAGAAAGCGCAGGAGGAGACGGTAGGGGAACACGCTGTGGAACAGAGGAAGGACGGAGTGCCATAGCGTGTGTGCCAGGGACAGGAGGCGGACGCTCACGAGGAACACGACTACCAGTGCGATGCGCGCGAACAAGCGAGGCAAGACGAGACGCAGACTCACGACGCTCTGTAAGCAAGTCTGTCTGCTTAGTGTAAGGAGAAGGAGTAGGCAGTGGTGCGCCGGGCTGTAACGGGAGGCCAGTAGAAGACGGGAGGCTAAGAACCTGGCGAAGCACAGAGTCAGGCGGTGGCAGAGACAACTGTGACGGCGGAACGAAAAATAGTCGCGGCGGTGCAGTGCCAGTAGTACCAGTAGCTCCAGCACCTCCACCAGCTCCAGAACCTCCAGCCCCGGGCCTCCAGCAGCAGCACCTCCAGCTCCAGTGACTCCAGCAGCAGCACCTCCAACTCCAGCGCCTCCAGCAGCTCCAGAACCTCCAGCTCTAGTGCCTCCAGCAGCAGCACCTCTAGCTCCGGCGCCTCCAGCAGCTCTAGAACCTCCAGCTCCAGCGCCACTAGTAGCAGCACCCCCAGAACCGGCACCTCTAGCCCCAGGGTCCCCAACTCCACAGTCAACAGTACCAGCTCAAGGGCCTCCAGCAGTAGCACCCTCAGAACCGGCACCTCCAGCTCCAGGGTCTCCAACGCCAGGGTCGACAGCACCAGCTCTAGGGCCTCCAGCCCCAGTACCTCCAGCAGCAGCGCCCCCAGAGCCGACACCACCGGCTCGAGGAGCAGTACTAGTCCCGGCAGCTCGAGTACCTCCAGTACGAGCACCTCCAGGACCAGAGACACCAGCACTCCCAGCGCCTCCACGACAAGCAGCTCTAGCAGCACGACTCCTCAGACGGGTACGCGACGCAAGCCAATCTCGTGCCTGCTGTGTTGAGACAAGCCTGCGTCGTGAAACGAGACCCAGAGGAACGCCAGCAGACTCAGCACCCCCCAACCCGGCATCCTTCGGCTCAGCACCCCCAGACTCCGCAGCTGTAGGCTCAGCACCCCCAAGCTCTTCACTCCCCAGCACCTCATGCGCAGGCTCAGCACCCCCAGACGCAGCACCCCCAGCAGCACCTCCCGCAGCAGCACCTGAGTCGCTAGTGACCTCTACAGGCTGAGCCATGGGGGGCGGGTCTACCTGAGACACACCTGGAGGAGTAGGACCCTGAGGCGGAAGGGGGTCTACTGGAGGAGGACCTGGAGCGAGGAAAAACGGCGGGGGGAAGGAGAGGGGCAGTGCGGTAGGGGAAGAGACGGTAGAAAGGAATCGACTCGTTAAAGGTGACGTCCTGAGAGGGGATGACACGGCGCGAGGTGGGGTGGTAAAACTGCCAGCCAGGCGCGTCAGGGACAAAGCCAAGGAAGACATAGGGAATGGTGCGGAGGAGAGCTTGTCCGCGGACGTTTCGCGGACAAAGGCACGAGCACCCCAGACCCTGAAACGCGACGCATCGCCAACCTCCTCCGTCCAACGCAGTGTGGGCGAGGTCTCCGGCAAGGAGACCCGGGCCCAGAGGTTGAGCTGCTGCGCGGCTTACCGGACCGCAAACGACAACAGAAAATGGGGAGCCGCCGCATGGATCAAGGAGGTACGAGCGACCTCCATGACTAAGCCAATGCAGGGCTCAGAAACTCCATTTTGCTGCGGTGAGCTCGGAAGCGTGAACGACTGTTCGATGCTCTCCACCTGACAGAAGGCCCGCAAGAGGTCGAAGGTGAACTCACCACCTCTGTCAGAGTGCAGACGTAGGACAAGAAGGTCCTGGCGGAATCTGCGACGGAGCTGGAGATGAACTGCTCGGATCCAAGGGATCAGGACAGCAGGGACCTCACCCTTGATGCGCAAGGGGAAGACCATGGTGTACCGCGAATAGTCGTCGACAACCAGCAGAAAGTACCGTTCACCGCCCTGTCCACGAACGCGGGCTGGGCCCCACACGTCCCGGTGGAGGGTCTGCAGAGGAGCCTTTGTCGGGGGAAAAGAGGAGTGAGGAGCGGCGCGCTGCCGCCCCTCGATGCAAGGAAGGCAGGGTAGTGCAGGCGAGGCAGGGAGGGGAGGGAGAGACCTGGGAAGACTAGACACAAGGAGGCGACGGTGCATGCTACGGAGACGTGGCAAGCAAGGGTGACCCAGGCGGTGGTGCCAAAGAAGAGTCTGGTGCGACAAGGAATGACACTCTCAGGGGGAGGCTACTAGACCTGACGCGAACACCTGACCGACAGCAGCTAACTGAGGAGACACAGTCGTCAGTGTGTAAAGACTCGACCCTGGCCGACGGGTGAACGTGGCCAGGTGACGGCCATTCCTAGAGCACGTACAGATCGCCAAACGTTGTCCTCCAGGGGTAAAGGTGTCAACCGAATGATCCTGGAGGACGGCGCTGCTCACCAAGTTCGTCGAGAACGAGTGAAGGTGGAGACCTGACAGTGAGCCAGACGAAACCGCCGGGCACGCAAGCACAGTGGTGGACCGCGCAAGAACTGGGCCCCCTGAGGGTTCAGCCAAAGAGACTGCATCAGGTGCAGGGAGTGGTGTGAGTGCGGTACTGTCACGGAAGAAGCAGCGGGAAGCACCTGAGTCAAGCGTGAAGGTGTACAAGGCCTCAGGAGGCGCAGTACCTTAGAGAGCAGACTTACCAGCACCTAAGGCAGCAGCCTCACTAGCACCTAGACCAGCAAGCAAAGCACACACAGGTAACAGTCACTCTCAACACCACCAAGCAAAGCAGACATGGCAGTAAGGATGGCGTCATACTCTAAAGCAAAGACATCAACGCCCGACCTAAGCAGCTCAAGCCGGTGGGGGGTCTCAGCCTCGTCGCCAAACTCTGCGTGCCAGGTGTCACTCAAGTAGGCAAAGCAGCGGGACTGTGCGTGACCAGGTGTCCCACAAATCTGACCAGCTCGACGGCCTACGCAAATGATGTATGGACAACGACCAGGACTCGGAGACGTCCCACGCTGGTAAAGCCACTCACGAAGCTGCTGGGGCGTAAGGGTCGGACGTCGCCGTAGCTGCATCTGGCCACCGTCAGAGACTCCACACCACACAGCTCCACAGTGACTGCTACTACGGCCGCTACGACTCCCACTACTGCCACCACCGCCGTCACCACTCCCACCGCGACTACAAAGTGAAGTCATGGCGGGCAAGCTAGGAGGAGCGCGACTTCTAGGGCAGTACGGAGTAAAGGCAGTAGTAGTACGAGTAGCAGCAGCAGTAAGACGAACAGCAGAGCGGCTCGTGAGGCTAGGTTGCAGCACATCCAGCACTCCTAGCAGCACCTCCACCAGCAGCAGCTGTAGCACAAGCAGAAGGGCGGATCGTGTCGGGTGGCGCGGCTCGGCCTGGGCGGCGCGGATAGCAGGGCGGGCGCTGTGGAGGGCAGTAGGGCACGCCGCGCTGGCTATAGCAGGGCGCGACGCGCAGGGCAGCAGGGCGCGACGCGCGGGCAGCAGAGCGCGACGCGCGGGCTGCAGCAGAGCGCGACGCGCGGGGCAGCAGTGCGTGACGCGCGGGCTGCCGTAGGGCGCGACGCGCGGGGCAGCAGAGCACGACGCGCGGGGCAGCAGCGCGCGACGCGCGGGCTGCCGTAGAGCGTGATGCGCGGGGCAGCAGAGCGCGATGTGTAGGGTGCCGTAGGGCGCGACGCGCAGGCTGCCGTAGGGCGCGACGCGCAGGGCAGCAGGGCGCGACGTGCAGCTACCGCAGGGCGCGACGTGCAGCTACCGCAAGGCGCAAGCTGCAGCAGGACGCAGGGCAGGGCGCTGGCGCAAAGCAGGGCGCTGGCGCAGGGCAGGGCGCTGGCGCAGGGCAGGGCGTTGGCGCAAGGCAGGGCGCTGGCACGCGCAGGGCAGGGCAGGGCAGGGCGCGCGCTAACAGCGCAGCGCAGGGCAGGGCGTGGGGTAACGGGGTAACCGTAGTCGATCACTAGGTAATGGTGGGCCCGAAAAAAAAAAATGTCCTACGGACCTACTGCTCTGAAACCATGTTTGAAATTAACAAGCAGGAATGGTGTAAACTATCGAGACAAGTACAAAACCTAAAGGGGTTGTACCCCATGTTGGCCACCCCACTATAGCTTACCCATTATACCATAGCATATATATAGTTTGACACAGAACACACTTGACTGGTAAAAAAAGGAATGTCGCGAGGATGCGTTGCGACCGACACACCTCCATAGTGAGACAACTCCACATCATACGGAGGGGGACAGCGAGGAAGGTGCTAGAGCGGCATGATGCCGGCGTTGCGGAAGCTAGATTGGAGAAAGAGCAGAGGTGGAATGTTAGAAGCCTAAGATAACTCAGGACTACGGTTTTGGGGTGAAGCTGCAATGTCGAGAGAGTTTGGCCAAAAGAGTGTTGTTCACTATAGAACGAGCAGTACAAATAGGAAAGAAAGGTGCACCACCAAACAGAAAGTTATATGACTACAGTATTCTACACTACAGGCAGTTATAGAACAATATATAGAATTATATATTATTATATATTATTATATATTATTATATATTATTATATATTATTATATATTATTATATATTATTATATATTATTATATATTATTATATATTATTATATATTATTATATATTATTATATATTATATATTATTCCTAGGGGTCGCCCAGGATCCCCACATCGTGCCATGCCACCATACCCCTGCACCATGGCTTGTTCCCTTCACTCACTCACCGTTTCCCTCACCACCCTACCCGTGGGGCCCTGCCCACCAGGCTGCTGGCACGCAACAGCATTCAGGGCACCCTCCCAGACAGCCTGGGCCAACTCTCTTCCCTGCGCCACCTGTGAGATGTGCACCCGGTTGTCAAACTCTTCTCACTCGTTAGTTCATAGTCTGCTTCCTTCGCATTCTCAACACTTGTCTGGTATAATCACATCTGGTACAATCATCCTGCCAGTCAAATTCTCCCGTGTATGTGTATATTCACATCGGTTGGTCGTCATACTCGCGCTTTCCTATGCGACTGCTCCAATCGTGCTGCTGCTGCTTGCAGCTGGTTGAGTCACAATAATCTCACAGGGAAGCTTCCGTCCTCCTTCTGTAACCTGTCCCGTTTAGAAATCCTGTAAGTCATCAGCATCACTCACCCTTTCACCCCCCTTGAACCCACTCACTCATCCGCTCTGTCTGCCCTCCATGTTCTCTCATCAGTTCACGTCCCTCACCCATTCCCTCATTGCGCCACTCATTGCCACCACTAACGCATTTTGTGCCCCCCGCCCTACCAGGTACCTGAGCAGCAACAGCTTTTACGGCCCCATCCCCGATTGTCTCTTCAGGGCCTTCCCCTGCCTCAACAGACTGTCCGTTCGCTTCCCTCACCCCCCACTTTGTTCTGTGAGCCTGTTTCTTAGATGCTTGAGAAAACGCTCCCTTATCCCTCGACTTGTTCTGTGAGCCTGTTTCTGAGATGCTTGAGAAAACGCTCCCCCATCCCTCGACTTGTTCTGTGAGCCTGTTTCTGAGATGCTTGAGAAAACGCTCCCCCATCCCTCGACTTGTTCTGTGAGCCTGTTTCTGAGATGCTTGAGAAAACGCTCCCCCATCCCTCGACTTGTTCTGTGAGCCTGTTTCTGAGATGCTTGAGAAAACGCTCCCCCATCCCTCGACTTGTTCTGTGAGCCTGTTTCTGAGATGCTTGAGAAAACGCTCCCCCATCCCTCGACTTGTTCTGTGAGCCTGTTTCTGAGATGCTTGAGAAAACGCTCCCCCATCCCTCGACTTGTTCTGTGAGCCTGTTTCTGAGATGCTTGAGAAAACGCTCCCCCATCCCTCGACTTGTTCTGTGAGCCTGTTTCTGAGATGCTTGAGAAAACGCTCCCCCATCCCTCGACTTGTTCTGTAAGCCTCTGTTTGAATTCCCCAAGAACGGTTTCCTTTCTTCTCCAGATTGATGGTTTAAATTCCAGATTTCACCCATAACCAATACCCTCACCACCCCCTACAGGGACGTGAGTCACAACAGCTTCTACGGGCGAATCAACCGCAACTTCGAGGGCATAGTGCCCACAGCAGGGGCCCTCCTCAACCTCGCCCACAACTTCTTCTACGGCGACCCCGTGCTCTTCGCCAGTGGCTGCCAGTTCTGCCCGTCAGAAATCGCGGCGGAGAGCGTGGTGGAGCCCGGGGATCTGAGCGTACAAGCCGGAGGGAACTGCGTCGTGCAGTCAGAGGCGGGCAGGTGGGTGGGTGTTTCCTTAAGTGGGTGCCTCCCATAATGGGTGCTTCTAAAGCTAGATGCTTTCTGTGGCGGGTGCTTTTGGCTCACGCAATACCTGAGTCATCCCCCTACTTCCTCCCACCATTCCCTCCTTCCCGCCCTCCTTCCCTCCCTCCGCCCTCCCACCCATTTTCGCCGTCCGCCCATCCCACTGCTGCTCCACCAGAGCACCACTGGTGGTGGCACGGCAGTACGAGAGGGGGCAGGCCAGCCTGGCAAACAACTGCTTCCAGCCCACCGCCCCCCTCTCCTGCCCCGCCACTCCCTACTCCAACCCCAACACCCCTCCCAACTCCTCCACTTCCTCCTCCATTTCCTCCTCCTCCCCATCCTCCTCCTCCACCTCACCCACATTCTCCCAGCGCACGCCAGCGGCATGCAGGGCGTTCTGCAGCATCACGGACAACGGCCCCTGTGACGGCCATGGGGCCTGTGTGCCGCCCCCCCAGGGAGGGGACTCTTCTCAGGGCTCAACTGCCAACTTCTCGTGCCAGTGTGACGTGGGGTACAGTGTGTTTGACAGTGGTAACGGGTCGACGTGCGTCATACTCACCACCACCACGGTCCCTGGTCCAGGTGGGTGGGTCTCTTCACAGCAAAAATAACTCCGAAACGCCTTGCAATTAGGCTGCAGCTGTGAAGATCTCTCCCCACACCCACACCATACAAGGGGGGTGTCTATCTTCACCACTGCAGTCCATTGCAACACCATGTCAGTCTCATAACTTAGGCTTAGAAGCGATACATTAGTAATGAGCTTGAAGCTCTTTAAGTACATCCAAGAAGGGGAGGGAATGGATGGGGAGGGGAATCGGGGACAATCCATAGGGATTGGGGGTAATCCCAAGGCAATCTCCAATTGGTGGGTTGGAGATTGCTTGGAGATTACATTTGGGTTTGGTTGGGATGTAGGTGTACACCCAACCAAACACAATGTGCAAACTACACTTCTCTAGGATATAGAAAATATGAAGTACAAAGTGTGAGATTGAAGGCTAACACTAACACCCCCCCATAGGCGTCAATCGAACGCATGGTAGAGAGGGTGGTGCACAGAGCCCCATGGCGCCTAGGAGACGGTGGTGGGGAACTTTCCCAAGGGGCTTGGTGAACAGATCAGCCAGGTTGCAGTCAGATGCAACGTATTCCACTTTCAGCTGCTCCTGTTGGACAAGGTCACGGATGAAGGAGTGCCGAAGTTCAATATGCTTGGTGCGGGTGTGATACACAGGGTCTTGAGAGATGTGGATGGTACTCTGGTTGTCACACCAGAGGGTGGGGGCGGACTGTGGGAAACCAAGCTCCTGGAGTAGGAAGGTGAGCCAACGGGCCTCCTGAGCAGCCATGGTGCCTGCGTAGAGCTCTGCCTCACAGAAGGAGAGGGAGACTGCAGACGACCTGGTGGAGCGCCAACTGACAATTCCGCTCCCAAGGGTGAAGCATTACCCCTGAGAGGAGTGTCAGTCGGTCTGGTCATCAGCCCAGGAGGAGTCAGTGTAACCTTCCAGGCGAGGAGGGGAGAGCCCACCGAGTGTGAGAACGTGAGGGTGCCCTGAAGATAGCGCAGCACCCGCTTCGCCGCCTTCCAGTGAAGATCAGTGAAGCGTCGAGGGGCCACGTAGCGAGAGATGACACTGACAGGATAGGCCAAGTTCGGTCGGGTGCACATCATGGCGTACATGAGGGACCCAACAAGCTCCGGGTATGGCTCAGAGCAGGCCTCTGGTGTGGGTACAGCTGGAGCAGTGAAGAGGTGTTGCAGCGGCAACGGGGGTGGCAACAGGTGTGCACAGCTCCATCTCAAACCGCTTGAGCACATTGTCGATGTAGAACTCTTGGGAGAGTGAAATGGTGCGAGCCTGGCGATCACGAGTGATCTCCATCCCCAGGTAGTGCTTGAGGTCACCGAGGTCTTTCATCTGGAGAGCCTTGCTCAGGGCTGCCTGGACTAAGGTCATGTGGGCCGAGTCCTTGGCAACGAGGATGAAATCATCCACGTAGACCAGGATGTAGAATGGCTCAGAATGACGGCGGATGAAGAGAGTCGGGTCAGCAGTTGAAGGGTGGAAGTCCAGGGAGAGGAGGACTTCTTTCACCTTGTTGTGCCATTCGCGAGGGGCTTGCTTAGGGCCGTAGACGGGGCGATTCAGCTTCCAGACAGTGTTGGGAGGGAATTCTCCTGGGAAGCCTTCTGGTCTGTCCATGAACACCGTCTCCTTGAGACGTTCTTGTAGGAAGGCGGATGAGGCATCCATGGATTTGATCTCAAAGTCTTCTCGAGCTGCGACATCCATGAGCGTATGAATGGTGGGAGGTCTGGATGTGGGGGAGAAGGTTAGGAAGAAGTCGCGGTACTGCTGCTGGGTGAAGCCCTTGGCTACGTAACGCGCTTTGAACACCAGGGCCTCGTCTGGGAGCTGTTTTACACGGAACAACCACTTGCCCCCGACGATGTTGACTCTTGGAGGTGGTGTCTCGTTGTCGAAGGAGTGGTTGCGGGTGAATGCTGCAATCTCCGCTTCCATGGCATCACGCCATTCGGCAGCATGAGGGCCTGAGAAAGCCTCTTGGACGGTGAGAGGGATAGGGATGGTCGGGTTCTCCGCGAAGTTGAGGGAGGGTGAGTCAGTGATGTCGGGGAAGATGTGCGAGAGCTGAGGAATGACTGCATGAAGATCACACAGCTCCTCATGCCTGTCTTCCAGAAGGGTAGAGGGCACATTCCCTCAGCAGGAGGAGGCGGTGTGATCGCCGTGTATTGAAGAACCAGCGCTAGTGGAAGAGCCGCGCCATGCGAACGAGTGCCATGAGCCACCGGAGAAGAGGGTGGGGCAGGCGGCGTCGGAGGGGTTGACTTAGGAGGCTTGGGCGGGGGAATGGGCCGCCGGTGGTATGTGATCAGCTCGGGCGACTGTGGGAGAGCGGGTTCCTCTGTGGTGGGGGGAACCGGGGGAGGAGGTGGGGCCGGAGGGTGGGACCGCCGATGGTAGGTGATAGGTGCGCTCGGAGGTGGCTGCATAGTCGGCGGAGTGGGAAGTGAGGGGGATGGAGGAGCAGCTGTCGAAGACACCGGTGAGGGCGGGTCAGAGACCGCAGAGGGGGATGGTGCGGTGGCAGGAGGGGTAGGGGGTGAAGGGGCCGGAGCAGGCGAGAGGTCAGGAGGCGCATCAAAGTCTGCCCACACGAGGGAGGGTGGGTCAGGGAGAGGGTCCCGTCCCGAAGTGGAGTAGAATGGGCGGGTCTCATCAAAGACATCGTCGCGGCTCCGGACCAACTGCTGAGTGGAGGGATTGAGGAATAGGTAGTCAGGCGAGTCGGCGTTGTGTCCGAGGTAGATGCATGTCTGGGTCTTGGGACCGAGCTTGCCGCCGTGCTGCCATCGAGCCTGAGGGTTGAGGAGGACATAGGCGGTGCACCCCCAAACGCGAAGAGAGCGAGGAGTGGGCGTTTTCCCGAGCCAGAGTGTGGTTGGAGTGGTGTCGGGAAGATGCGGGTGGGGGTAAAGGTTGTAGAGGAGGGCGGCGTGGTAGAGAGCGTACCCCCAGAGAGAGTGTGGAGCGTTGGAGTGGCTGAGGAGGCACCGAGTGATCTGCACCAGGGTGTGGTTGCGGCTCTCAGCTATGCCGTTCTGCTGCGGGCTATCAGGGAGGGTGAATTTTTGCTGGATGCCTTCTGAAGAGCAGAAGGCTTTGAGCTTGTCGTTACAAAACTCACCACCACCATCTGGGTGGAGGCGCTTGACTTTGCGGTCAAAGGCGGTCTGTGCCTGTTTAACCCACGCCATGAGGACCTCTGGAACCGCAGCCTTAGTGTGGAGGAGGTCAACAGAGACGTAGCGAGACTGATCATCGACGATAACAAGGAAGTAGCGATAACCACCTCGTGCGGGAACAGGGGCAGGGCCCCAGACGTCCAGGTGTACCAGGTCCAGTGGTCCTGCTGCGACAGAGGGTGAGGCCGGGTGGGGCTGTTGACGCAATTTGCTCTTGGTGCAGTCAAGGCACGTGGGAGCGGGGGAGTCTGGTGGTGGAGGAAGTGAGGCTGGCAGGCCGAGTAGAAGTTTCTTGGAGGCCATGTCAGCAAGTGTGCGGAAGTTTGGGTGCCCGAGCCGATGGTGGTAGAGTATGGTCGGGTTGGAGAAACTGCGGCACGAGCATGGTGAGGTAGTCGTCGCTGTTTGGGTGGTTGACACCTGTGGGATGGGTACTTGCAGCGTGTAAAGGCCGCTGCTGTTGAGGGTGAAACGAGTCAAGACCTTGTTGGTGAGTGGGTCGAGGATATCACCATAGTTCTCGTTCTCCCAGAAGATGGTGCGTAGTTCAGCTTCCTGAATTTCCGTTTGGGCCACGAAATTGTGGCGGAGTGAAGGCACGCACATTCCAGTGACAGTGCCGGAAGGGAAGGCGGGGCACGGGACTGTGGATGAACCCTTGGCATGAGTGGTGAAGCTTGAGTCAGCTCCTAGGAGAGGGATGGGTGTTGCGTAGGGTTTGAAGGAGAGTGTCTCCTTGAGTACAGTGTGTGTGGCCCCGCTGTCGAGTGTGAACTCTATGTATTGTGGTGCTTGTGATGAGCCGAGGTACTGGGAGGAAGCTTCATTAATCATGGCAGTGCCAGGGAACAACAGGTTGATACGGGCATCAGCAGGAGCACTATCACTAGCACTAGTCGAAGCGGGGGTCCTGGACCTCAACCAGGTTGGCCTTGCGTGCACGCATCAAGTTCGGTGGCCTCTTGTCTATGCCGTGGATGGCGTACCATTCGTCGTCCTTCTTCTTGAAGCACGTAGCAAGGGGGTGGTTAGTGCCACCACACACGTGTCCCTTGCGGTTGCCATACTTGACGACATAGGTGCACGGTGAGAAGCGGTTGCGCTGGAGGGGCGCCGAGGGAAGGGTCGATGCGACACTGGCTTGAGGCATGGGAGCACGGATGGCCTAAGCCTTGGCCTGAGCCGTGGAGTCTTTCTCGGCAGAGAGGAGTGCGGTGGAGACCTTGGCAAAAGTGTGGTCTTCCGCAGTCAGCGTGAGGAGCATCTTCCTTGTGATTTCATAGGTTGTGGTGAGACCAACGAGAAGAGCTGCTGCAGGGGCCTGTTTGGGGAAGACTATACCCAGCTCCTTGAGTTCGCCATGAATGGTCCTGAAACCTTGGCAATGTAGTCGGCCATTCCCGAGCAATCCTCAAGGCGTACGTGGAACATGCCGGGGATGAGGATGGCAACTCCGACTGCAGTCTTGTTCATAAACCGATCCTGGAGATACTTCCAGTTGGCGTTGGAGGTAGGGTAGTTATGGAACGCGTTGACAAGTTCTGGAAGGGTGGAGGCGATGAAGACGCTGATAATTGCAGCATCAGCCTTCTCCCACTTCCGGTACTTCTCAACGGCTTCCTCATATGCCTTTGTGTCAGCCTCACTAGCGGATACGGTCGGCTCGCGAGGGAGAAGGGGCTGTTTTCCCTTGCCACGGTTGAGGAGGACATCCTTGAGGTCCAATCCCTGCACGTCACGGCTCAGCAGGTGCTTGTCAACCCCATAGCTCCATGTCTTAGAAGTTGGAGCTAGAGCCATAGGCGTCAAGACGGAGTGGGGTGATGGGGTTGGCCATGGTGGACGAGGTGAATGCCATGATGGAGACCCCTTAGGGTGTCGCGCGGAGCGCCGCTCTTGAGTCAACGATAGGAACTTGAGGTTGGGGTTTACGAAAGAGAATTTCGAGGTTTAGGGTTTTTTGAAGGAGAATTCGACTGAAACGCCAATTTAGTGTCAACTACCTTCTAATCCTATTCCCACACACCCCCCCACACACCACCCCTCAGCTTCTCGGCTGCGCTGCTGCTCGGCTTCGCGGCTACAACGGCTGCTCGGCTTCGCGGCTACGTTGCTGCTCGGCTGCGCTGCTGCTCGGCTGCGCTTGCTGCACCTGTTCAGCTGCCGGGAAAGGGAGGGGATGGGGGTAGGAGTGCAGATGCGGAAGCGACGGGCGGCAGCCCGAAGGTGAAGCTGCAGGGCGACGGGCGGCGGCCCGACGAGAAGCTGCAGGGCGACGGGCGACAGCCCGACGAGGAGAAGGAATGATGCGATGATGTTCGACAAAAACGAGCGATAGGTTAAAGCGCCGACGATGCGCTTACCAGTGAGATAGTAGATGCCGTCGAGAGTGAAGGGAAAGTGGTGCGGAAGAATTTCCGCCCACGAATGTCGAGAATCAACGGCAACGAGATTGAAGGCGGTTACGCCGAGGTTTGCGGGACAAACATCCGCAGAGATAAGAGGATCACGATCCGCGTGTGCGGTTTGAAGTGCTCTGATACCATCTCATAACTTAGGCTTAGAAGCGATACATTAGTAATGAGCTTGAAGCTCTTTAAGTACATCCAAGAAGGGGAGGGAATGGATGGGGAAGGGAATCGGGGGCAATCCATAGGGATTGGGGTTAATCCCAAGGCAATCTCCAATTGGTGGGTTGGAGATTGCTTGGAGATTACATTTGGGTTTGGTTGGGATGTAGGTGTACACCCAACCAAACACAATGTGCAAACTACACTACTCTAGGATATAGAAAATACAAAGTACAAAGTGTGAGATTTGAAGGCTAACACTAACAGTCAGTCCACTGCAACACCATGTCAGTCCACTGCAACACCATGTCAGTCCACTGCAACACCATGTCAGTGTCACCTTGCAACACATGTGGCAACCTCTTCCCTCTCCTCTCCCTCCCTCATGTTCCTCCCCCTCTCCACCAGGCCTATCACCAGCAGCAGTGGCATGCATCGCACTGGGATGCTTCTTTGGCCTTGCCCTCCTCGCGGCTACCCTCGTGTGGGTTTCTTCTCCCAACAAACGCCGCCGTGAGTACCCCTGGATCACCTCAATCCTTGTGGTGAAATCCCTCAAGAGCTATTGCAATGTCTCCCTCGCTTGCCTGCTCCTGATTCCTGCTCATGACTAAATGGGTGAGTGAAGTAACTCTCGACCACTTGCTACCCCTCCTCCCCCCACTCTTCCTCTCTTCCTTCCCCTGTTCCACCAGGCAAGTGGGGCGACCTGGACGTGTGTCACGAGTTCTCCCTGCAGCAGCTAATGCAAGCCACCGACAACTGGGCCGACGCAAACCGGCTGGGGCGGGGGGGCTTTGCGACGGTGTACCTGGGTGTTTCGCCCCAAGGGGAGATGTGGGCCGTGAAGCGATGTAGAGTGATGACCAACGACTTTGAGAAGGAGGTGTGTGCAGTGATTGGGAGGCAGCACTAGCTGGTCTGAAGCATGTGAGCATGTAGTTCAAAGGGGCAGTGGAAAACAGTTTGTGGGCAGTGGTGAGCATTGGTGGGTAGTGCAGTTTGCTAATCAAGGGGGGAATGTGGGGTGTGTGAAGCAGTTGTGCCCATGTGCGGGGCCATGGAACATAGCGCCAAGAGAGAAACTGGTGCAGCTGCTGGTGACATGCGTCTTCTCTTCCTCCTCGCTTACTCTGCTGTCCATGCACAGGTGCGAGCCATGGCAACGCTACGCCACGAGAACCTGGCGCGGCTGCTGGGGTTCCGTGTGGACATGCAGGTGGAGAGCGGGCGGCAGGAGCACCACAGGGGAAAACAGGGGTTTAACTTTGTGCTCCCTCCTGCTCCCAATCCTCTACCCCTGCTTGCAATGCACAGGTGCGCGCCATGGCAACCCTACGGCATGAGAACCTGGTGCGGCTGCTGGGGTTCTGTGTGGACATGCAGGTGGAGAGCGGGCGGCAGGAGCAGGTGCTGGTGTATGAATATGTGGGGAATGGCGACCTGAAGCACCACATCCACCACGCCAAGTGTGAGTTCTCTTATTGACCTGGTTCCCTCATACGTGCTGAAGGTCCCTCTTGGTCCTGGGTATGTTCAATTGAGCGTGGTGCGAATCAAGTGTATAACGTGCGTGTGCATGATGTGACTGAGAATTCACCTTACCACTTGTAGGTGCGCGCATGAACGTGCATGCATATGCTAGTACCACTGCTTCCATCAACGTTTACATCAGAGCACATCCTCGTACAACACCTCACCTGCAGGCCCCTCACCTTCCACCAACGGCTCAAAATCGCTCTGGGAGCAGCAGAAGGCCTCTCTTATCTGCACAGCTTCAGCACGCCCATTGTGCACCGCGATGTGAAGCCCGCCAACATCCTCGTCACCGACTCGCTGGCCGCCAAGCTCGCTGACTTTGGGCTGCTCAAACAGCTCACTGAGGGGGATGGGGAGGGCGGTGCCACGAGGATCGCAGGCACGCCGGGGTATGTGGACCCAGACTACAATCGCACACGGGTGGTGTCCCCAAAGACAGACGTTTACAGGTGGGTGGGTGGGAATCATTAAGCCATCTCTCAAGTTGTTCATGCACGAATGCGACGAGGATCGCAGGCACGCCGGGGTATGTGGGCCGGGACTACAACCGCACACGGGTGCTGTCTTCCGAGACAGATGTTTACAGGTGGGTGGGTGGATGGACGAGTGGGTGGGTGGGTGTGGAAATCATTCAGATGCCTCGGAAAGGC